AGGCAGTCTTGGAGATTATCAGGTTATCCCTCTCTTGCTGTTCTACGCTGAACGAGTACGCTGCGGTCGTCGTTTGCCGAAGGAACGCCGTCCCAAAAACTGCCACGCCAATCCGGGGAATGCCAGCACCCCCTCACCTGTATGCATAGCTGTGAAGCACTGTTGGTTCTGGGGAGAACAACCTCCAAGGCCCACAAATTGCAATCGCTGAATGTGTCTATCTGGGCGAGGTCAGCGGTTTTGAACAGATTATGCGGTTTTCTTAACAAAACGATTTCCAAATAGGTTTGCCAACCAAAGATGAAAATCGGTGTTCGAGCTGAATCGTCATCACCTATTTCGTATACTCACTCAATGACATCTAGAAGGTATACTCTCTCTTCATTCGCTTAAATTTTCTTTTAATATCTTCAATGTGTTGAACTGATTTTCTGAGTATCGGTGGTGCACTCGAAATCTTCAACCCTTACTTATAACTTTTAACTTGATTGTGGAAAACCCAACAATGAAGGATTTGTCCCATTCTTGAACACCAAAGTTCGGATCAGAAATGGAACCACGGAGTTATCCTGGTATAGAAAGCCAGCTTCGAAGAATGTGTTGCTGCATGCTAGAAGTGGCCACCCCCTGTACATGAAAGCCAATGTTGTTCGGAATCACTAACGAGAATAGTTGCACTCACTAGGGAGGTCGTTCAGGACGTGGAGCGCTTTTTGAAAACGGTTTTTTGCATGATGTGGGGTTACGTGCATGGAGTACCAAACTGGTGTTCATTTTCCTGAGACGCTTTCTGGGAATGCCAAAAGAATTGGGAGAGGAACGCAGGAAAAAGAAGTCCATGGAAACCGACTGTTTTTGAGCCTGAATGGGCTCTAAATCACTCGCAACTTCGGCCAGTTGCTGCCTATAGGGTCCTTATAAAGGTACTGGTATCGATGAGAAAAGTAGTCGCCAATGGGGTCCTACTTGTGGCACGTAGTCCCCAATTTGGAGCCAAGTCTTTCTCCATGGAGAATAGTACGTTATGTACATTCGTTTGAGGGACTTGCAGGGCCATTCTGACGCCAGATTGGGTTGATGTCAAGAATAAGTGTCAGAATCGTGATCAGGACCATCGATTACCCCTATAGGCAAACTTTCGGCCAAAAAAATTTTTTTGACTTTTTTTGAGTTGTGATAGACCGACCGTCGGTGATGACCGGAGACCCACAACTTTAGAGCTGCGATGACGTAGCGATGACGTGGTGGGCCGCCGGGCAGCCGCATCGCGGATTTGGTGCTCATAAGGTCCATTCATACTTGGCATGGGCATGGGTGGCCGCAGAACAAGTGAAAAACCATCCTGGACATGTCGACCCCCGCGACGGCTCGCTCAACAGATGTCGTCCTCCCCTACCAAGAGGAGAGACTCATCCCACGTTTTCACTTTGTATCAAATGCAGTCTGGAGGAATACGCACTCTTGTTCTTTTTCGATGGGCTTTTCATGGTTGTGCATAGTTTTTGCTTCCGAGCCACGGATGAGGCGTTCGTAACCAGGCAAAAGTAGCGACTTCAACGAATTGTCTCTTCGAGCATAAAACCCAACTGCACAAGGCTGCGAAAAAGTAAAAAAAAAATTTTTTGGCTGAAAGTTTGCCTATAGGGGTAATCGATGGTCCTGATCACGATTCTGACACTTATTCTTGACGTCAATCCAATCTGGCGTCAGAATGGCCCTGCAAGTCCCTCAAACGAATGTACATAGCGACTCCAGTGGGAGAAAGACTTGGCTCCAAATTGGAGATAAATGGCACTAGAGCTGAAAGTAAATGCCATAGTCATGATCAGGGCATCGAATAACATAAGCTCAGCTTTCAGACAAGTTCTTGCTTAATGGTATGTGAAATCGAAATTGCTGAATAGCACCGACTACGGGCTATAACTATTTAGGATGTGCCTATAAATGGCAGATATCCGAGTAAAATTCATTAACAGACGTATATGGAAGCGACAACAACGGAAAATAAAAAATGCAAAAACGTGCAAGCCGAGGGGAGTCGAACCATCATCCCCCATCCCCACTGTCTGCTTGAGAATCCTCCACGCTATCCACTAGGCCATCCGATCGTTGGCACAGCACACCACTTCGATTGCTTAAGAGCCCATTGGCCGTCGACTCTTAACTACGTGCCACAAGTAAGACCCCATTGACGACCACTTTTCTCATAGATACCAGTACAACCTTTATAAGGACCCTATAGGCAGCAACTGGCCGAACTTGCGAGTGATTTAGAGCCCATTCAGGCTCAATAACAGTCGGTTTCCATGGACTTTTTTTCACTCCATTTTTGGCATTCCCAGAGGCGTTCAGGAAAAATGAACACCAGTTTGGTACTCCATGCACGTGACCCCACATCATGCGAAAAACCGTTTTCAAAAAGCGCTCCACGTCCTGAACGACCTCCCTAGTCAGAGGTTATCTGAGCCAGATTCGGATGCGTGGATTAAATTCTAAGATAGAATGGGTATACAAGCACTCGCACCCATACATGGAAACCACATTACCACGGAGGACGGAATCCCCTTGGTTTTATCTTATCTAAATGAAAGCACGGCATAAAAGTAAATAATATAGTAAAATGCTCACCACTTCCGATACGCCTAATATTCCGTCCTCCACCGAATTTAGAACGCTTTC